TCACCTTCCGAATTTATACGAGAGTAGGCGTACGATTGCTCGCAGAAAGTATGAGATCTCCAGTATTTCAAACGATTACTTCCTGAAGATTACCACGCCTACTATAACACTTTACCTCATGATTGAATAATATGGATCATACTTTCTGGCATTATTGAGTTCCTACTTAAATTATCTTATATGTGGTCTTTGTACTATTAATTTGAAAGAGGAATACTTCACTTATAGTTACTAATATATGTTTTATAAACTGCCTATTTTTGTTGCAATAAACAGAAGAATAAATCTGCTGTATTTTTTTATATATATATAATTGTTTGTATCTGTGGAATACTATTTTAATTAACATTTAAATTGAGCTCGTAATCACAAAAAAATAAAATAGAAACAATTTTATTCATACAAAAAACCTGCTAAATCCACTTCAGTTTTGAAAATACAAAAACTAAAAGCTGCTAAGTTAGAAATTTGCCAATAAAACCATAAAAACGTAATTTGTTTCATTCGTTCTGGATTAGGGCCATAGAACGTCGCGCGATTAGCAAACTATATGTAGGATTTGCCCTTCAGACTAAGAGTTAAAGATATATTTAGTTTTTTGCCTCTACAGTAAAATATTTTTTTTGGTCGTTAGCAGGTTTACACTCTAAGGCGACGATATATGTATAGTAAATTCAAGGCAGTATTTCTGCTTAAATTGCTTAACTTCTACATTTTTTATGCAACCGCATTAGGTTAGGTATCAATTTATTCGAAAATAAATGTTCTTTTAACCGAATGCTACATATTTTGCAATTTTCATAGACATTTTTTAAATCAGCGATGGTGAAGGTGAAAAAGTTCAGAAAAATAGTGGCTTATTAAAATAAATCCGATTGAAGCTCCCCACAAACTAAGTCTAACAATATATTGTTATACATCATTTTAAAGGTCTACAAATCCTCTTTTCGAAACATCTTTTTTTTTAGTTTGCTGGGTTGGAGCTGCTTTGGCCGATGGAGTAAAAGGCGAAATGCTTATATTTTTCCCTTGTCCCTCCTACGCGTTTCGACACTCTCGTGTCATCTTCAGGGAGTCTGTTTTATTTGAACGATAAACAATAAACATGAAGAACGAACGAAAACCATGATTAACAAAAACATAATAATAGTTGCATACATACATACATATATACAAAACAATAGTTACATATGTACATGTATACTTAACCCTAATTATCTACACACATAATATCACTTGAAACTCACATTAAATATTGACAAGAATTTTACATTAATTTGCACAGATTGAAAGTAATACAACATTTAGGATGAATTATTCAAGTATTCTTATTTATATTTTAATTTTAGTACGGCTGCATATGTGTTCTTCGTGTTGTCGACGTCTTCCTTAAAGTTGATTGCGTTGTCCAATTGTTGTTGTATTCGTAGGCTCTCCAGTGTCATTCTCCTTCTTTCTCCTCTTTCGATGTCCAAAATTTCTGTGTTGCCGAAGTCCGCTATATGTTCGTGCGTTGTTAAGTGTTGAGCCAGTGCTGTTGTCATCTTTTTGTTTCTCGCGTCCGCTCTGTGTTCATTGATTCTTATACCCAACGCTCTTTTTGTTGTGCCTACGTAGCATTTATTGCAGCTTTCGTTATCATTGCCCTTGCACTTTATTTGGTACACTACATTGTGTTGTTGCTCCTTTTCGATCTTGTCTTTGGTTTTCGTCAACAATTTGTTGATTGTGTTATGGGGCTTGTGTGCATATATCACATTCTCATTTTTTATTGTTTTTCGGAGTACTTGGTTATTTGTAAGTCCTGGTATGTATGTCACCCCAATGTATTTTTTGTTAGTGTTGTTTGGCTGTACTTCATTGTTTTGGCTCGGTTGGCGAATTTGTTTTATTGTTGTTTGTAATAATCTTTCAATTAACGCGTGCGGGTAGCTGTTTTTGTGCAATATGTTTTTTATTTTCTTGTTGTTTTGCTCTGTAAATTCTTCGTCGCTGAGCAGATGGACTTTTCTAATAAGACTGGCAGCGGTGTTTATTTTTTGTTTCCATGGGTGATTGGAATGAAAATTTATCAATCTCCCCGAAGCAATGGATTTTGCATACCAGTTCAGCAGAATTCGGTTTCCCTTTTTATGCACTTCTACATCTAGGAAGGCAATTTTCTTGTTTTTTCCCCTTTCGACTGTAAATTGTATTTTTGTATGTTGTGCATTTAATATTTTTAGTATGTCTTCCGCGTCTTTTGCTTTAATTATTGCAGACATATCGTCTACATATTTAATTATGTATTTTATATGTATGTCGTGTTGTTTAAGTTCAGCTATGCTGTCGTCCAATATTTTGTCAAGTACGATGTCCGCTATGGTAGGGGATAATGGGTTACCCATTGGCATGCCATAAATTTGTTGATAAAGGGTGGTATTGTATTTGAAGTAATTGTTATCCCGTAAGCAAAACTCGAGTATGGTATGAAATTCTTTTCGTGTAATGTTTGTAAAATTCTCTAATTTTTTCCAATTCTTCATAATTGTCTGTATGGCTAAATGTATCGGGATATTCGTAAATAGTGATATGACATCGAATGATATTAAAATTTCATCTTCTTCAATAGTAATATTTTTTAGATTTTCCTTCAGTTGATAGGAATTTCTTATATTATATTCGTCAGAGATTATGTTTTTTAAAATGTTGCCAATAAACTTCGATAATTTGTAGCAGGGAACATTTGTAGACGAGGATATTGGTCGGAGAGGTGTACCGGTTTTATGAATTTTGGGTAGTCCGTATAATCTAGGAGCATTAGCTGCTGTGCATGTCAAGTGGAATTTTTGTTTTACGTCAATTTTTTTCTGCTTGAATAAGTCGTTTACTATATTGTTGTTTTTCCTCAATAATTGTTGGGTAGGATCACTTCTTATGGTTTTGTATGTTGTTTTGTCATTCAGTAATTCCCTCATTCTATCTTCGTAATCCTTTTTGTAGATCATTACCGTTTTATTTCCTTTATCTGCTTGTGTTATTATTATTTCTTCCTTGTGTTGACCTATAAATTTTCTGGTGTCTGCATACGTTTTCAATATAAATTTTTCTTTCGTAGAATGTATTGATTCTTGCAGAGATATTGCTTCTTGTTGCATCTTTTTCCCTTTCGTCAGTAATATCTTGTATGCCTTGCTCTAAGTCGGCAATTATGGGAATCGGGGAAAATGTTTTCTTAGACACCGGCAATGCGAATTTGCCTCCAAGTGACAGTAGCCAACGGGAATACTTAGACATGGGAATATCTGTTTTATTTATAAACCAATCCTCATTAAATCTTATGCCAAATTTTGTTATATTTTTTTGATATTTGCTCATCTAATTTTTTCTCATGTAGTTTCTGCGTGTCTATTGAAACTTTATTAGAAAATTGTTTCTGATTTTCTATTATTTTCTTGTATTCTACTTCCATAAGTCTGCTTTTCAGTAAATTTTCCCCATGTTTAATGTTGGTTGTGACTATTTTTATATTAATATTTGTTTCTTTAATTTCTAAATTTTTTTTTTAATCGGATGAAAAGTAGCCAAGATGCTAATAGATACCTGCATCAAGTACGAACATAACGGTTGTTTTTAAATAAAATAAAAATAGAGGCTTCAGGAACTATATGGAACCTATTTTTATGTTGTGCTCGACGATAGCGGTAGGTTTTGTTTCGGGTGTATTTTATGACTTTTTTTTGTAGCACCGTTTCATATAATAAAGGATTGGCGTTTACACAATACGTCAGTGTTTGGCCGAGCTTCTCCTCCCATTTGTGGCATGCGCCTTGATGTTGTCACACAAAGGAGAGAACCTACAGCATTTTTTCATACAAAGTATGTTCGACAATTTTTTTATATGGAAAAAAAGCAGAGCACCGTCCACAAAAAAAAAATGCCAATAATCAACGGTAAGTCATAGCTACTAGAGCTGGAAAACTATCGCTAGTCGTGGCCATCGATAGTTTCGATAGTCACAACCATCGATAGTATCGATACTATCGAAAATGTCGACACTATCGATAGTTGCGATTAAAAAAGTCCAAAAATTAAACATAACAACTTTTATTGAAAATGAGATCAGAATTGCTAAAATATGTACACACAAAAAAAGTTTATCAACGATTTTTGGCTTTAAGCAGCATCTGCGCTCTGAAATTATTTGCCATGCTATGCTAAATGTCTTTTCCGACTCACAAGATGAAACAGGTACCGCCATCTTTTACTCTTAAAGGGTGTTTCCACGACGACCGAATCACGTGGTTCGCTCTCTCAATTACGAACGGCGAATCAACACGACACATTCCTGACTAACTTTGCATCTCTGCTTCTTGTTCTTTGCTTTTGTTTATTGTTTAATGTGTTGTTTATTGTGCATTTTAACGGTGGAGAAAAAATGTGTGGTGGCTAATTAGCTAAATCAATAGTTTTAACGAATCTAGCTATTTTTTCAATGTTTGTGGGATGTGTGTGGTCTATGTGTTTACAGCCGTTGTCGATAAAAATTAGAGAAGACAACGATTTGTTCTTGATTCGCATGGTGATTGGATCTGAATAACCTACGAATGAAGTGATTCGCTCTCAAAATTTTGTATGGCGAATTACGTAATTTGGTTCGGACGGCAATCACGAATGAGAGAGCGAATTACGAATGAGAGAGCGAATCACTTATCGTGGAAACATAGTTTTAGTGAATAATGTATGTATGAGTGAAAATGATCGATAGTGCTTACAAAACCATCGATGGTTTGGATAGTCAAAAACCATCGATACTATCGATAGTGCCATCGATAGTTTTCCAGTTCTAATAGCTACTTCATATTTACACTTTATTATACTAAAATTTAATGGTCTAATGGCAAAACTTGCTCAAATGTCGCGTCCCAATTTTTATTTGGGTCACTGTACTAAGTAATGTATACATATTTATGTATAATATCGGTTCATTTTAACGGTGTTTTTATTTCACATATTTTCAGATATATTCTATTAATCCTACAAACGCGTCTAAAATAACTGGCATGCTGCTTGAAATCCCGACCCCACAATTACTATCTATTTTGTCCTCTGAAGATACTTTGCGGCAAAAAATTAACGAAGCACTCGACATAATAGCTTATAAACAAAAATCAGATGCAAATAATGCGTCAACCCAAACCCAGAAGAAAATGATACCTGTTGTGTTACTGGAGCAGTGTCAAATTGAAGACAGTGATCCACTATTTTATTCTCCAGGCAAACGTGGTTTTTACACTCCAAGGCAAGGATATGGTTCCTTTGAACGAATAAATGCATTCAAAAACATTGGAAGGTATGTATCGAACACATAAATATTTCCAAAAACATGAAAATATACCATTTTTGCCCTAGCCACTGTAACCGCCTAATAGCATAATTGTTTGTTCATAATTGTGTATGGACATTTTGCCCTGGCAGAGCGCAGATTTAGAAGAAAGCGTTTAATATCAGCAGCTATTTTAGGCATATTCGAGACATACCAGTAACCTTTCGCACCGGTACAATCGTGTTAAAAATAAAATTTGTTTTGCCGGGCGGGAAAATATTTATTGGTCTAACAATCAGCTGTGCAAAACTTGATTTGGATTTCAGTACAAATGCATGATGACTGACTTATTGAGTGTGGTTTTCGTATGTAAGGAGAGGACTTTACTCCTGAATTGCCTACCCATCCCAAGGTAGCACTTGTTGGCAAGAGTGATTCTGCTGACATTGTTATCGGCGTTAATGGTTCCCAAGTAAAAAAAATTCTCTACTCTCTCGAAATTATATCTGTCAACAGTGACGTGAGTGCTAAGGCGCGAATGCGTTGACTGTTTGTTTTATGACAGGAGATACTTCGTCTTGTCCTCGTTGACCACCAGACTCAATCGCTTTGCTTTCTTATCCAACTTGGAAAGGGCAGAACAGACTTCGCGGTTCTTATTACCGCCAGAAATGGCACGCTCTTGTAAAGTTGTTCCTGAGCGGTTCAGTTCTGCAGTGTTATTTTCCAGCATCAGATGAAAGAAATCACGTCATTTTACACAGCCGTATCAGTTTCGCAAGGATGCCAAGTTCAGACATCGGGGCATATATGCAACTCCTTTTAGGGCATGATTACGATAACCGGGCGACAAATTTTGACCCGGGGCGTCGATAGAGATTTTTGTAACCAGTATAACGGTATAATTTTTTGATGGCAAACGAAAACTACTGGAGTTACCGAAGATCAAATTCAGATTTTGTTTTAAATCCTTATATCGCACGTCTAATAATAAAGAAATGTAATTCAAAATTTACGTTTTTGGAGATTTCATCATACAATTAATATGCTTGAATATGTTCAGCCTAACAGAAGACTAAAGTCCTACGGACCTCAAGAACTTTGAAAAATCTTATCTACAACAATATTTTGCCCATGACGTTTTTATTTTTGAAAAATGTGATAACTGTTATTTTGGTTCCCTGGACTAAACCTCCCAAAATAGCGAAGATATGTCTCTTTCCATCTGCCTTTTGGTATACCAACTCAATAACTCAGTGAGTGGGGAGACCAGTATGTCTGCATGCATTCATAAAAAAATATTTATTGGCCCAAAAAGTAGTGGGTAGGCACTGTGGCTAGTGGTAACCAACTATTACCACCTGGTTGTAAGCCATGCAGAGTCCGCAGAAAACTCCGGAAGCAGTGTCCGGAGAATGCATCAGACTAGGCAGAGCATACTTTGAAGTGCCATCTAATTAAAACTTAAGAAAATTCAATTACATGGCCGGTGAGAAGTGCCTGTTTGAAAATTTCATAAATTGCACAAAGGAAACATGTATTTAGGCGCCTGGTGTTAGCAGTCACGCCTAAACACCAACTGTATAAATTGTTCAAGCTTTGATTACGTTTTCTCACAAAATTCAAATTTTTAAATAATTCGGCCGGTCAAATAAAAAGCAAAACAGAGTTTTCTTTTATCCTTCTACGCATTTCAGCGTCTTTTCCGCCTTCATCAGGGAGTCTGTTTATTCGATACAAAGCATAAAAACTCAAACAATTAGGCTTAAAATCGCAATTAATAATATGTGTGCATTCATCTATATATATAAAACAAAGTCGTGTTAGTTACACCATTTATAACTCAAGAAAGGCCGATTTTTATGACATTTATTTCTTGAATTTGCCTGCCTTCCGAATAGCAGAATAACTATTAAAACTGCCGCTAGGTGGGGCTGGAGTCGAGTTATTAGTAAAACCCGTATTTATGGTCCGATTTGCCTCATATTTGAGATGTGTATTGACAATAGGAAAAACAATACCATTGCAAAAAAAGAGCCGCCAGGTGGCGTTAGAGTCGATTTATTACTAAAAATCGTGTTTATGGTCCGATTCGTCTCATATTCGAGATATGTATTGACAATTGGAAAAACAATACCATTGCAAAAAAAAGAGCCTCCAGGTGGCGTTGGAGTCGAGTTATTACTAAAAATCGGGTTTATGGTCCGATTATCCTCAGATTCAAAATATGTATTGATAACAGGAAAAATAATATGTATATGTAACTAAAAATCGTATTTTTACTCGAATTTATGTCATTACCGAATTATATGAATTCACATGCCGATGGTCCTCCGAAATAACGACGCAACTCAAAATTAAAAAAAAATCAAATCCCTTATTGCTTTTAAGAGGCTCATGTCTCTAATCCTTGGCTAACTAATCTTAACTAAAGTAAGTAGTGGAAGCGTTCATGGTAAAATTTTTCAACTTGGTACGAAAATATATGAAATCAATCACATATTCATGGAGAAAAATTGGAGCTATTGGAAAAGGGCGTGGCACCTCATATACAACCGAAGTTTTGACACTGTATATCTCTGGAAATGTTCATGGTAAAGTACTGGAACTTCCCACCATGCAAAACATGAGAAATAGGCAACAATCGTCAATGGCAACAAATTGGCGACTCACCGATTTATTGCTGTGGTGACAAATCGGCAACATCACTTCGTTCATGTCAATTTTGAATAAAAAAGTTCTCAAAAATTCCGAAACTTATGAATATGGCGTCAATAGTATTGGCCAAAAGCGTCTAAATTGTGCCCAAAGACAAGATTGAAAAAATAGGAAGTCTAACAGCGAGAAAATGAATTAATTCCGATTGTAAGTTGCAATTTGGTATACAAAAAAATAAATGAGGTATTAAAAAGAATAAAATTATTCCAAATATCGCCTGAAGCGATAAGAAAAGGACTCATTCAGGTAATAAGAAAACGACTCGCCCAGGCGAGTTGCCTTCGGCGGACGTTTTAGAGCGACCGGTAATAGGAAATCGATTCGATGGCAATATTACCGGCAATAAATTTGTTTCCGAGGGCGACACGTTTTCTTATTACCGGCAACACAAATTGTTTGGTGGGTTGGTATGGAGGTACTATGTATATGAAATCAATCGCATACTCTTGAGAAAAATTTGAGCTATTGTAAAAGCGCGTGGGCCCTCCCATAAAATACGAATTTTGCATACCGCATTTCTCTGGAAGTGTTCATGGTACAGCACTGGAACTGGGTGCGGAGATATATGAAATCAATCGCATACTCATGAAGAAAAATTCGGACTATTTGAAAAGGGAGCGTGGCACCTCCCATATAAACCGAATTTTCACCGAACCCCGAAGTGTTCATACTAGAGTACTGGAACTTAGTATGGGGATACTATGTATATGAAATCAATCGCATACTCTTGAGAAATATTGGAGAAATTTTTGAACTTGGTACGGAAATATATGAAATCAATCACATACTCATGGAGAAAAATTGGAATATACAAACCGAATTTTTCATACTGTATATCTCTGGAAATGTTCATGGTAGAGTAGAAATCAATCGCATACTCATGAATAAAATTTCGGACTATTTGAAAATGGAGCGTGGCACCTCCCATATAAACCGAATTTTTCATAATAGGTATCTCTGGAAGTGTTTATGGGAGAGTACTGGAACTTTATACCAGCGTGGCACCTCCCAAACAAGTCGAATTTTTCTTATTGCATATCTCTAGAATTGTTGTTTGTAGAGTACTGGAACTGGGTGTGGAGATATATAAAATTAATCGCATAGTCATTGAGAAAATATGGAGCTATTGAAAAAGGGGGCGTGGCACCTACTATACAAGCCGGATTTCATACTGCATATCTCTGGAAGTGTTCATGGTATAGTACTGGAACTTCGTATGGAGATATATGAAATCAATCCCATACTCATGGAGAAAAGTAGGCTCTTGGAAAAGAGGGCATGGCAAAATACAAACGTACTGACTTTTCCTTATCTTTGAATGTGTATATAATACTTCTGTAGGTATGTTTGTGAGTGAAATCCTAAATGGCTGGAGGGATTTCAAAAAAGTTGTGTGTGTGTTTGAGTGAGTCTCTGGATAGTTTAGTTTCACAATTTAACCCGCCAGTTGGCGCTGGAGTTGAGTTACTACTAAAAATCTTTTTTTATGATCCGATTTGACGAATATTCAAGACATGTATTGGAAACGGTAAAGGAAGTCCAATTGCAAAAAAGAGATGTGAGGTGATGCTGAGGTCGAGTTATTACTAAAAATCGCCAAGTGAGAAAAGGTGCCGCGAATGTCAGACTAAATCGACCTGTTGCACCATTGAGTATATCGAACTCTCGTGTACTGGGTGTGATTTGCCAATATTATTATGCGTTAAAGCTTCATTCGTACATACCAGGGTTTATTTGTGCAGTGGTAAATCTCAAACCACTACCTGTCGAAATACCTTAAAAGCCAGTTTAATAAAAGCAATTTAGTGAAGATTTAATTTTTTAATTGAATTTAATATAGAACCTGACAGAAAAAAAACAATTTTTCCCTTAAATTGCTTTCTAAAGTTGTTGGTTCGTGAAACTAGCTTTTAAGTTATTTCATCTCAGTCTATGTAAGTATGTATATTGGGTTTCTGTCGAACAAGGATACGAATCCATTTTGAAATTGTCACCAACTATAAGATAATGTTTCTAGGGAAAATTCACTATAGATCCGGATCTTTGTTGCCGCCGGCGACCTTCTTCATGGACATAACACTTTCGTTAGTTTATTTAAGGCGGCAAACGACCACCAAACCACAATCTTAGCCGATGAATTCGCCATTGGAAATCGTAGTCTGTTGGAGAAAATGTTAGACCAAAACGATTAAATTAAAAATCTAGTTATGGGTGGGACGAAGTTCGCCGGGTCGGCTAGTACATACATATAACATAGTTAACAAAGTACATATCGTCGCTCCCAACGAAGAGTAGCACATCTCAAATTA